CCAGTGGAAACTAACCATGTAAAAGTACAGATAAATTAAAATTAAAAGATTAAATTATAAATTAAACTAAATAGAATACTGTGAATAGTGGAAACTTATGTTGTCAAGACTTCAAGTCTTTAGTCAGCAGGTTGTCAAGACCTAGAGTCTTTCGGCAGCCAGTGGAAACTGTTTTACAGTATGGATAGTATAATTAAACATTTAATTAAATGATAAATTAAACTAAATAGAGTGCTGTGAATAGTGGAAACTTATGTTGTCAAGACTTTGAGTCTTTAGTCAGCAGGTTGTCAAGACCTAGAGTCTTTTGGCAGCCAGTGGAAACTGTTTTACAGTATGGATAGTTTTATTAAACATTTAATTAAATGATAAATTAAACTAGTATACTGTGAATAGTGGATACTTATGTTGTCAAGACTTTGAGTCTTTAGTCAGCAGGTTGTCAAGACCTAGAGTCTTTTGGCAGCCAGTGGAAACTGTTTTACAGTATGGATAGTATAATTAAACATTTAATTAAATGATAAATTAAGCTTAATAGTATGCTGTGAATAGTGGAAACTTATGTTGTCAAGACTTTGAGTCTTTAGTAGCCAGTGGAAAATTAAGGTGCTTGCCCCTTCCCTTGTAGAATCAAACACTATTTAATTCCTATTTAATTCTTATTTTATTGGGCTATTTAATTCCTATTTGTCAAAGTATTTATTTCCTATTTTTACTATTATTTTTTTTCGAGGTTTTTCCTATTTAAATTAGGGTAGAAAGTCTATTTTTTTCCTATCCAAGTGGAACCATATTTTTTTCCTATTCATGATATATTTCTAAACAAATACTTAATTGATGTACTCGAATATAAATTAAATAGGTTTCAAATACGATAAAAATAGAGCTATTTAAGGAAATTATTAAAAATATATAGTTTCGACATAGTTAATAAATATGTATGAAATGGTTAATAAATATGTATGAAATAGTGACAATATAGGTAAAAAATATGTAATAAATAGCTGAAATGAGTTTCAACTAAGTTTAAAATAGTCAATAAATAGTTGAAAAATAGTGATATTATATTTTAAAAATAGATAATAAATAGTTCAAAAATAGTGATAATATAGTTTAAAAATAGATAATAAATA